GCCCGAATAAAAGATTTTTGGTTGAATTCGGTGTAAAAGACCCCTGCATGTTTTCTTCCTGCTTATTTTACCTTCCAGATGGTAAAATCCTCCCGATTTAACCCATCCCAACCCATCCTTGGCTCATCTCCCACCTGCCTTCTCTTCAGTGGCTTCTCAGACTCATGGGAGCATAGAAATTATCCCCAAAWAAACCTTTTTACCCCCATCCACCAMAASTGGGTGGCTCTCCAGAGGTTGGACTCATCTCCGTTCATTCCACAGAGGGGGAAAGAACCCCAGAATTCAGTGGCTCCCCTATTTCTTGGGGGGGAAGATTATGGATATTCCAGCAGATCCACAAATCCGGGAGGAGCTGGGGGTGATGATGCTGGGAAGGGACCAGCCCAAATCTTGGGTTTCGTGAGGATTCTGGATCATTTTGCTGATTTTCCCCAATTTGTCACTTTAAATCCAAAGACACCGCACTATGGATAACGCAATATCAGCGTGGATCTGCCACAGGAATGGGCATAAATGTGGAGAAGAATCAGGGGGATTAAATTCATCAGGGAAAGCACCGTGGTTCTGCCTGCCCAGCCCTCTTGACATCTGAATTTGTGGAATAATGAGAAATGTGGAGCCAAGAGCTCTGACATAACACGGCCCGGAGGGAGGATGTTGAATGTGGAACTTTGGCTGCTCTTCCAGGTCACGTCCCAAGAACAAACAACTCCATCCAGGAGCAGGGACGCGTGATGGCAACGCCTCCTGATCCACTCAATCTCCTTTTTTTTTTTTGTTTGGACCTGGTCCTGGGGATGAACAAACCCAGAACGTTTGGGGGCGAGGGGAGCAGAGTAGTTGCTACATTTTCCAGCACGTTGGGATCACCCCTGTGGGTGCAACACCGAGAAATGGCTGCATTTGATAATTTTAAAGACATTTTCCACCCTTTCCTCTCCATCTTGGCCAAAGACGTGGCCTGATGGAGCAGCAGGGTGGAAATGCAAATTTTCCCTATTGGTCTTCGATAATTGGGTTTCTTTGTTTAGCAATTTCTTCCTCTTGTGAGGAACAAGCGTCGGAAACCATGCACGTAAGGGAAGTCGGGGGTGAAGATGTGAACCCATCCCACCCAAGCGGCTCAGAACCCCCCAAAATAACCCCCATGTTCAATCCCAGCTGGGAAGCGGCAGTCCGTGAAAATGAAGTTCACTCCCAAAATGTAATTCTTGTTTCTGCCTGGTTTCGAACCAGGGACCTTTCGCGTGTTAGGCGAACGTGATAACCACTACACTACAGAAACTCCGGCTATTGCAGCTGCAGAAAGAATTTTGTCGAAATTCACAAAAAACATTTATTTCATTTTGTTTTACTTTTTCCTGATGATATTCTCCACATCCCTTGGCTCTTTTTTTCCTCTCTTGGGTGGTTTTTTCCCCAACGCCCACCCGGGCCACCCTCGCGAGGCCGGACACGACCAAGGACACCCCAAAACGTCYCTTTTTTGAGCACCAGAGGGAATTCCCTGATTAAAACTATTTCAGACACCCCAAAATCCAGGAGTGTCTGCTCCTCCTGCAGGCTCAAAGCTGTTTTTCAAGCTGACTAAATGACATGGAATTGTCGCTGTTCCCCACAAAATGACCCAAAAATCCTTTTGGAACTTGACAAGAGGGCAGAACCCCTAAAATGTGTGTTTCTGCCCGGTTTCGAACCGGGGACCTTTCRCGTGTGAGGCGAACGTGATAACCACTACACTACAGAAACCCTGACGGATGTTTTATTTCCCTAACCTGGAACATTGGGAACGCGATTTCCTTCCTTGGCCGTGTCTGAATATCCTGAAATCCCATGGGAAACGTTCCTCTGGTCGTTTTATATCCCCTTATCGTTTTTTATTCTTTCCTTTATCTCTTTTTATTCCAGTAGCTTCTGGGAGGTTGCACTGAAGGATGCAAACAAAGGAAACAAAATCAGGGAAATGCTTAAAACACAACACACGCTCCCCCTCCGGCCCCAAATTGGCCCCCAAAGCGGTGGCGTTTTGTCTGATTCCGAACCAGAGACTTTTCACTTGATTCCTTCCACACCAGGAGCGAAGCGGTGTCGTGGCACTGATGAGAAGRAGCACCTTTGGGACGGTTTATTGGATGTAAAAAGTTCATGGAAACGGTGAAATTTGGGGGTAAAACAGTTCCCTGGTGGTCTAGTGGTCAGGATTCGGCGCTTTCACCGCCGCGGCCCGGGTTCGATTCCCGGTCAGGGAACGAGCTGCTAATATTTTCCTTAAATCAAAGCAGATTATTCAATTTCAGACGATTTCAGGTATATTTGTAATTTTAGAAAGGAAGCGGCAACTCCAAAGCCATAGAAAATTAAGGCATGTGAGCTGTTCCTGYGGAAATCATGAATTTTTGGAGATGTTTGCCCCGGTTCCTCACATTTTTAGGGGGAGACACGGACACTTTAAGGGGTTTCTGCCCAAAACTGTCCGCAGGGAAAATATGGATGGATAAACTGGAATAAACCCTGGGCTATATACACGGATTTTTACCAGCGCCATCATTCAGAGATTTGGAGGAATATTGAGCCAAAAAATGCAGGGACAAAAGTAAAATTTAAACAGTTTGGTGGCACTTTTTTTGGGGTTTTTTTTGCCAGCATCGCCATGACGGAATTTGGTGGAATGGCGAGACACGAAAATTAATTAAAAAACACACTCCCCAGGGCTGTTTCTGCCCGGTTTCGAACCGGGGACCTTTCGCGTGTGAGGCGAACGTGATAACCACTACACTACAGAAACGCGCCGTGCTCCCGAATCCCCGCCTTCAGCCCTCAAAACGGGAGCCAAAAAAAAACCCCGCACTTCTCCCACGGAATTCTGTGAAATTCCACGTGATTTCAGGAATTTTCAGGCATGTCCAGGCAATTCCATCCCTCCKATGCCGTCACTGGGATTTATCCAAGCGGGGATTTTGATCGCGGAAGAGGAACTGGCTGAAAGGTCAAAATTGCCTCGCGGTAGAGGTTTTTTGCAGCCTTTTCCAGCCTCAAAAATGAGTCTGCTGAGCGGTTTCTCAGGAAAAAAGGGAGGGTTCTATCATTCCTTATTAAAATAAAGATAACAGGAAGAGCACGGGCCCGGCTAGCTCAGTCGGTAGAGCATGAGACTCTTAATCTCAGGGTCGTGGGTTCGAGCCCCACGTTGGGCGAGTGTGTTTTTTATTTTGCATTTACCCAAAGTCGATACTTTTTCCTCTTGATTTATTGTAATTTAAAAATTGGTATTAATTTCTAAATTATTCTTATTTTTACATTATTTTTGTTCGCATCTCATTCCATATTATTAAGAATAATTTTTATTGTTATTGCTACATGTTATTATTTCATTATTATTCCTTTTTAAATTATTAATCAATAATAAAAATGGCCATTATCATCATCATCATTCCTTTTTAAATTATTGTTATTATTCCGGATTTAACTATTTTTATTCTTTTAAAATGATTGTTCCTTTCAGAAATCGCTTTTCCACTTTCTTTTTAAATTATTATTTCTTTTTGCACTTTGAATCTCCGAATAGTTGTGTTTTGCCCCAAATTCCCGCCGTCAGGATGGCCGAGTGGTCTAAGGCGCCAGACTCAAGGTTTCACCTTCTCTCGGGAATTCTGGTCTCCTAGTGGAGGCGTGGGTTCAAATCCCACTCCTGACAGTGCCATTTTTTGGGGAAATTCCTTAAAAAACACGCCTTTTTCCTTTTTAAAACTATTATTTCTTCATAAATTATTATTTCCCTTTTTAAATTATTACTCCTCCTTTAAAATTCTTTCCCCTTTCTAAAATTACTAATGCTTTTCCAATTATCCATTATTATTCCCCTTTTAAAAAGCATTCATCCCCTTTTTTCAAATTATTATTCCATTTTTTAAATTACTGTTCCTGTTTTCAAATTTTTTCCCCTTTTCTACATTATTATTCCTTTCTTAAAGTTTTGATTACCTTTTGAAATGATTACTCCCTGTAARTAACTATAATGTATAATAAATAACAATCCACTCAAAAATCGCCATTATTTAATTTCAGTATTCAACTGCAATCGTTTTAGCACAGCGGGTAAACGCCTTTCGTATAGATATAATCGGAAAAAATGCAATTAGCGTTATTGCTAATTTATTTCTTTATTTATTGCTCAATAAAAGGAGGAGCTGGGGCAGGTGGGAGGGGGCGCCCGTCGGAAGAGAGAACCACGAAAAGAGAAGAAAAGGAATATTTTAGAGGGTTRTGAGATGTTCAACTTACGAAAAAAATTTATTTCATTTATCAGTGTGGGGGGATTCGGGGACGAAAAGGGGAGTTCCCTGACCGGGAATCGAACCCGGGCCGCGGCGGTGAGAGCGCCGAATCCTGACCACTAGACCACCAGGGAAACTGCGGGAGAGAATTTCCGAATTCCTGCTTTGGGTACGGGCGATCCCGGTGCTCCCGGGATTCGATCTCCACTCAGATTTATTTGGGAATACGGCTCCAACAGACTCCGGGACATGATCCAGATGGACCCGGGAGTTCGGCCCCAAAAGTCCCCGGGAGATGAAGCCGATGAACCCCAGATTCTGACCCCAATGGACTCCAGGATTTTACCCCAATGGACCCCGCGTGTCCAAGCTCCAGGAAAAGCCTGTGGTGGATGCAGGTGCAGGGAGATGATCCTGATGGGCCCCAGGAGATGATGGTGGTGCACCACAGATGTCCAAGCATCCAGATGTCCAGGTCCCAGGAAATGCCTCAGGTGGCATTGCTCTGATCGCCCCAATTGTTCCCATTCTTTGCCCAATTTCCCTTTATTTTCTGTCCTTTTCCGCTCTCCTCCTCCCCCTCGTCATGGCCCTGGCACAGAAAGTCTCTCCCTTGGATCAGCATCTCTCTGAACTAATCATGGATTCTCGTTGGCAGAAATGACAGAGAAGGGAATTTTCCTCCCAGAAACGCCCCCGGTTGAGCCGCCCATGGCGGGGAGGTCAAGGGGAGAGCGTGAACTGGCACCCCCTGCCCAGACAGAGCAGGGGCAGCACCTGCTCCCCGCCGAAGGACATGGGAGGGTACGTGAACATTGGGATCTCCCTCTGGGAATCAAAGAACGCCACTCGCCCGGACTCATAGTCCAGGTAGACCCCAACCACCTCGGGGGCTTCAGGCAGGGAGAKGGGGACAGTGGGGGACGTGAGAGCCTGGCACTGGCTCCCGCACTGCCCCACAGCCCAGATCCCCAGCTCGGGCTTCACGCTGATCCGGCCCTTCCTGCGCAYGGACTCCTTGGCCACGCCGACGGCCCAGGCGGCCCCGCTGCCCACCCGCACCTCCCAGTAGTGGCGGCCGSAGCCGAAGCCCTGGCGGGCCAGGACGCAGCGCGAGGAGTCGAAGCGTTTGGGGTGCTCCGGGACAGCTCTCCGCGTGTCCTCCCACCAGACGCTCTTGCCGTCCTGGGACAGGGCGAGCCGGGGGTGGGCTGTGTCTGGATCCAGCGTGAGGCTCGCTGCGGAGGGAGGGGACAGGTGTCACTCGTGTCTTGCTCCTCGAGAACTTTGGGGTTGGGTTTGTCTCCTCCTCCCCAAGCTGGGCTGCTCCAGGGATGGTTTGATGCCCGTGATTGGGACTGGGACAGTGGGAAAGCCAGCAAAGGGAATTTGGCTTTTGGGAGTGTGGTGGTTTTTGCTGGTCATTGGGTGTCCCGTGGCTTTTCCATTGCCACACGGTGATATTTGGATTTTCACCTTTGAGCCGTGATTTCCAAAGGTGGCACCAGCACCGCCTCCAACCCCCTTCCCTGGTCCCCCCATACCTTGGAACTTCCTCAGCATCTCTTTGAGGGTGGAATTTTTCTGGGGCAGCCCCGTGGGATCCTCTGCCACCTCTGGCAATGTCTCCACTGGTTCTGAGGCGTTCTGCTTCTCCAGCCTAGAAAGGAAATTTTCTCCACAGAAATATGGACTGGTGGGACTGGAGTGGCTACTGGGCCCTGGGAAGRCTTGAAAGGSCYCTTCCAACACAAACCATCMTTCCTCTTGAGTTTTGGCATCTACAGGAGCTTTTAGGGATCTACTCCTGATCAAGGAGCTCCTGAGAACATTTGCTGACCCAAATATGATGGAGGAATCCCTGGATGGTGAGGATTTTCCACCAGAGAAAATCAGGGAATAAAAAYGTTTTCCCTTGACCACTTTCCTCCTTCCAATAACCCCCCTCCCAATCCAAAGGGGACACGAGCAGGTCTGTTAAAGGATGGAGAATTCCCTTAGAATGAAACATTTTTGGCTGTTGGCTCRGAGGCTGACAAGGAAAAACTCATCCCTCTGGGAGCAGGGAGGATTTTATGCTGCAGCAGAGCTGGAAGTACCTTCACCCCCCAATACCTGACCCCGGTCTCCAGCACTCTRTCTGGACCTCTGTGGTGTCCTGCATGTCCCTGTCACAGGTCATGGATTGCTGGGGKTTTGGAGTCCACTAGCCATGGGGACAGATGACAAGAACAGGGCAGGAATGCAGGAGAGGAGCCACAAACCTGCTCAGGATGTCTCTGCTGTCCTGCAGGGAGAGAGAGAGACAGATCAGAGGGATCATTGAAGTGGAGCCAGCCCGGGGTGAGCAGTCAGGGAGGGCTCTGGGGTGGCCCTGGAGCGCTGCTCAGCCTAAATGAGAGATTCTGGATCTGCGAGAATTCGGGTGAGGTCATGGGAGCCTTAATGAGCAGTTGTGTTATCGGCGTCATCCCCTCCCAGCACGGGCAGGACTGCTGCTAATGAACGTCTCTGCTTGCTTGAATATATGAAGATTCGAATGGTTGGCTGTTTAAATGTTTGGGCATTTGGATACTTAGACATTTGAATGTTTGATTTTTTATATATTTCAATATTTCATTATCAAACCAGGGGTGAGGCCAAGCCCAGAGGAGGGCTCAGGTGGTGATTTTGGTGACAACCTCCAAACAGGGGAGAGGGAATTCAGAGCACTGTGGGGCTGTTCAACCAGGGAGGTGAACCCCAGTGACCAGAGAGTGAGCTCAGCCCTGAGGGTGATCCACAACATCCCAGTGTACAGCTGGGATGACTTTGTGGGCATTGAAAGGAATAATTTAGAAAAAAGAGATGGGTTTCAAAAGGAGTTTTTATATCTCCAGTTTGGRCAGGGATTGGAGAAACATTGGCCAGTGGAAGGTGTCCCTGYYGTGGTCTAGGCAGTCTATGAGGYCCCTYCCTACCCAAACCATGATCCCGGGATTCTGTTTAGGATTCCTCTGGCTCTTGGAGGCACCGGTGGCTGAGGGTTTGCTGAGGGCTCTGAGGTCTCACCTGCAGGAGYTCCCAAGGCGGTTGCTGGCACTTGTCCTCCAGCTCCTGGATCTGCTGCCCCACGAAGGAGATCTGCTCCGAGAGGCTGCTGATGCTCTGCTCCTGCCGCCGCACGATCTCCCGGTCCAGCTTGGCCATTCGAGCCAGGAGGAGCCGCTCCTGCCCCTCCAGGAGCTGCTGCAGCTCCTTCACCCGGGACCGGACCTTCTGCCGCTCCGCGTCCACCCGCTCCTGCAACGGGAACGGCGTGTGGGGCTGGGGCAGGGATGAGGGATGGGGGAGGGACACGCCAGCAGAGTGGATTGAAGGGGGGATTTATCACTGCGAGAAAATCCAGGGTTCTTGCAAAGTCTGGGTAGAATAAAGAGAATGTTTTTTGGTGGGGGGTGAGGCCATTTCTAGGTGGAGATTGCTGGCAAAGTATTTTCCCATGGTCTGTAAACTTTGTACCCAAAACGCTTCAGACCTTTGGACAAGGGAGGATGCAAAATAAACCCATGATTAGTCAGTGACAGAGATCGGGGAAAGAGAAAGCGAGGAAAGAAAGAGGAAATTYGCTGATTCYCGTCTKTTTAAGGAGGAATCTGGGAATGTGYGCCACTTGTGAGCACAYGGAGGGAGGCAAAGATTCASAATAACCTGGCARAATCCAGGTTCAGGTTGGGAGAAATTCTTCCCTGTGAGGGCGATGACAGGCACAGGCGGCCCGGGTGTGCCCCCACATCCATCACCAGGGCTGGAGGGCGAGGGAAGGGGCACTCACCAGCAGGTCCAGGCTTTTCCCTTCCTCAGCCGCTTTCAGCCTCAGCATCTTCTCTCTCCTGTCCTTCAGGATCTGCACCTGAGCCTGGAATTTCTCCTGAGCGGAGGAGAAACACGGGGTCGGCGCCTTTGCCTCCATCCGGCGATGTCGGGAACGCGGGGAGGGGGGAGCGGGGTGCAGAGAACAGACGGACGGTGCAGAAATCCAGACGTTTGCGAGGAAAATAACGCTCACCTGGCCTCCTCCTCCTCCTCCTCCTCCTCCTCCTCCCTCACCCCCAGGGACACCGGGACACCTCCCACCCACCTTGTGCTCTTCCGCCGCCTCCTCGATGGGGACGGCGGCGTGGAGCCGGTGCTCCCGGGACTCGCGGCACACGCGGCACACGGGGATCTGCTCCTCCTCGCAGAAAAGCTTCAGAGCCTCGCCGTGCCTCTGACAGAGCCCCTCGGCTCTCCTGGACCCGGCGCGCAGGCTGAGGCGCTGCGCGATCCCGATGATCTTGGCCAGCTCCCGGTTGGGTCGGAGGCTCCGCTCCGGCGCTGTCTCCCGGCACCGCGGGCACGGGAAGCTCTCCCGGGAGCTCTCCCAGCAGCGCTCGATGCAGCCCCGGCAGAAGTTGTGGCCGCAGTGGATGGACACGGGSTCCTGGAAGAGGCCGAGGCACAGCGAGCAGGAGGCTTCAGCGCGGAGGCTCCCGGCGGGGCCGTGCTCGGCCATGGGGACAGGGACGGGGACAGGGACGGGGACAGGGACAGGGACAGGGACAGGGACAGGGACAGGGACGGGGACGGGGACAGGGACAGGGACGGGGACGGGGACGGGGCGGTTCCGCTTTCCCCCAGGGCCGCTGTGGCCCCGCGGCTGCTCCGCTTCCTGCAGGTGCCTCGGCCCCGGGGGAGGTGACAGCGACAGCGCGGCCACCGTTCTGGCCTCAACCGCACTTCTTAAACTGCCAGCTCATCCTTTTTTGCTCATTCCGCTTCCTGACTACTTAGTATTCCTGAATTCCCGACTCTAACATCCCCACCTGTACGTGCAGCTATAAATGCTTTTATTCAGAAATGCCTTTATTGTTCCTTTCACTTCTCCTTTCACGCAGGAAATCGTTTCTCTCACGGGTCGGGGCTGAGCCGCTGACCGCACACCGTCCTATTTTTAATTTTCYTTTTCTTCCAAAAACTCCCCTTGGAACATCAGCGTGGAAACTCCGGAACCCTTCACACACAGAAGGGCATCGGTACTGAAATAATGCTTTTTGGAGGAAATCAGCCAAAAACTCACCCTCCGTTAATTGTGTGCGGGAGGTTCTTGTGGTTCCGGGTTTTCCGGTGCTCGGGACATTCAGACTGAAACCCGGGGGCGGCTACGTGCTCAAAACACCTTTTTTTTTTTTTTTTTTTTTTTTTTTTTTTTTTTTTTTTTTTTTTTAATCTGGGGCTAAGGTTGATTTATCGGAGATGAAACATGCAGAGAGTTAAGATGGATGAATACCCCCCTTGCCAAGGGATTTCCCTCCTTGATTAATCGGGTGTAATCACCGAGAATTCTCGCCGGGTCTGGGCTCAGGAGGGAGCTGGAGGCTCGGGTTTAACAGACAAGGAGAGRTTTGCTCAGTGCCAGAGGAAAACAAATCAGTAACCCAAGATTTTCTGCTGGATTTTGCTCAATTGCTTCAAGGGGCAGGTAGATCCAGGGCTGAGAGCAACRTGCCTCCTTTTCCCAGTTTCAGAGGAAAAAAATACCTACATAAAAAGTTTTTTTTAAAATCTAGATTTAAATTTTAAAAAAATAAATCCATATTTTAAGAAATCTAAATACATTAAAAATCTGCATTTAAAAAAGTCTAATTAAGTAACACCTAAAAATCCAAACGCAGCCCGGAAAAAGGGGATCTCACCCCCGGAGCTCTCCTTCCCTATCCTCGCTCCTCACCGGGCGGTGGATCCCAGTTAAACCATCGGGACCGGCGCTTTGGGACCACTCTAGGGAGGATTTTGGCCGTCTCCCCGTCTCCGTCCCCACTCCCGCCGGGCTCCACTCGCCCCCACTCGCGGGGACAGGAAGGCACCGCCTTCTCCAGCCCGCGGRGAAAATGAAAGCGGCGGCTGCGGCGTCCCCGGAGCCCCATGGCCGCGCCGAGCGCTCGGGACGAGCTCCTGGGGGACGCCTTCTGCCCCATCTGCCTGGAATATTTCCGGGAGCCCGTGTCCATCCACTGCGGCCACCACTTCTGCCGCTCGTGCATCGAGCGCTGCTGGGAATGGCCCCGGGCGCGGTTCGCGTGCCCGCGGTGCCGGGACACGGCCCCSGAGCGCAGCCTCCGCCCGAGCCGGGAGCTGGCGCGGGTGCTGGAGATCGCCCGGCGCCTGAGCCGCGGGGAAGCGCTGCGAATSGRSCATGAGGAGGAGGAGGAGGAGGAAGGATGCCAGAGGCACCGGGAGCCCCTGGAGCTTTTCTGCAAGGAGGACGGAGCTCTGCTGTGCGCGATCTGCCGCGAGTCCCGAGCGCACCGCGCTCACACCGTGCTCCCGGTGCCGCAGGTTGTCCGGGAATACAAGGTAAAAGCACGGTTTTCCATCCAGGAGCTGGASCAGCTCCGCCAGAGCAGAAATGGCCCCTCGGATTTGCCCCCTGCGCCCCTCGTCCAGCCCGTTTCTCGGGGACAGGACGCGCTCCGCTGCTKCTGCTCTCTCTGTTCTCCTCCGAGACTGGAGCGATCCGAGCCTTCATCCTCTTCCCTGCTGCGGAATTCCGTCCTCTGTCCAACTCCTGCGCTTAGAGGAGACTTGTCAATCCATAAATCAGCGGGAACGCGGACAATAGGATCAGGAATATTTTCCTGGACCGGGAGGAKAAACGGAGTTGCCCACACTCCATCTCCGCCCCGGAGTTTGCTTTTGAAGCTGTCCCAATCTCCAGAGAAAGAGAGTCTTTATTTTTMCAACCCTCAGGGACAAATCGAGGCTCGGCTGCAAATCCTGAAGGACGGCAGAGACAAACTCCTGGAGCTCCGGGACACTGAAATGAGGAAAAACTGGGAATATTTGGTAAACGCTGYGGAGCAGAGGGGTGGGGGAGTGGGTGTCTCCCGATGGATTTAAAATGGTCCCTGGGGCTGCGGTCCCTCTCCGGGGCGGCGGGGACGGGGGGGTTTGATCCCCTTCTCCACGCAGCTCCACTCCCCGCCTGTCCCATCCCTCAGGAGGAGACCGAAGCCGAGCGGCAGCGGATTCTCTCCCAGTTCCAAGGGCTGCGCCTGTCCCTGGAGGATCACTGCCGTCACCTCCTGGCTCGGCTGCGGGACCTGGAGAGGGACATCGAGAAGGTGCAGGAGGAAAACATGACGAGCCTGACCAAGGAGATCTCCCGGCTGGACTCCCGCGTCCAGGAGCTGGAGGAGAAATGCCGGCAGCCGGACAGGACCTTCCTGCAGGTGACGAGGGACAAGGGAATGGAGCAGCGGGGCCGGCGGGGTTTGGAGCCCCCCAGTCCCGTGGGATCCCGGCAGGGGTTCGGTCTCTGGGGGTCCCTTCGACCCAAAGGGTTCTGTGCTGCAGCTTTACCCCACTCCAGACCCAAATCAGGAGTTTTCCCCTGGTCGGACTCCATGGTCCTAGAGAATCTCTTCCGGTTTAAGTGTTTGCATGATTCTGAGYGATTCCATGACTTACCGTCTCCCTTTTCTCCCTTCTCTCCCTGCCAGGACATCAGCGGCGCTTTCAGCAGGTAAGGACGGGGCTTTCTGAGCTCCTCCTCCCGCCCCGGGCTGGGATTTGGGGCTGGATCCTGTGCTCGGCCTCCGTTAGAGACCAAAATATTTGASTTTGTGGCCAAATCCCTGAGCAAAGTGGTCCGTGCCCATCACTGTGGGTGTGCACAGAGAATTCCTGGGGCTCCCTCCGGGRTGGATCCCCAACCTCTGCCTTCTGTCCTTCTCCAGGCTCGGAAAGGAAAACCTCCAGCTGCCCTCGTCACCTCTTCCAAAGCTAGAAAAGAAAATTCATCATTTCAGGGAGAAAAATCTTCTCCTGGAGGAAGAGCTGAGGAGCTTCCAAGGTATTGAGAGCAGGCTGGAGGATGAAGAGATTAATTTCATTGGTTTTATTATTATACATTAATTGTATTAATCTATTATATGTATTATATACTTTTATTATGTATTTATTACGTGTATGCCCAATCATAAATTATATTTGTTTACTTAGAGCATATACTGTATTTTATTGCAATCGTTTTAATAGCCATTTTATCAATCATTTTTATCGTAATTCCATTTTACCACAATTCTGTTTGTCTTTCTCAGCGTGGCAGAACAGCCTCCCATTTTCTATCAATCCATGTCTCCCTTCTCCACTTTTTTCAGACATCCTGATGTTTGAGCTGCCGGAGAAAAGTGAGTCCTGGGCTGGGGGATGAGGGGCACGGGCTGGGTGGGAGATGCCGATGGGAATGAGGGGAGAGCCGGGGATGCTCACGGTGAGGATCATCCCCGCGGCCGAGGGAAAGCAAAGCACCGCCGGGAGCGGGCGGGATCCATGGAATCCCCTCTGGCGCAGTGACGGTGACGCTGGACCCCAGCACCGCTCACCCCCAACTTCTCGTGGCGCCCGACGGGAGCAGCGTCAGCTGGGAAAGAGCCCGGGAGCCTCCCTGGGATGGAATCTACACCAACCCTCCCTGGGATGGAACCGGCACCGACCCTCCCGGGGATGGAACCGGCACCGACCCTCCCGGGGATGGAACCGGCACCGACCCTCCCGGGAACGGAACCGCACCCGGTACCGACCCTCCCGGGAATGGAAACTACACCGACCCTCCCGAAACCGCCCCCGGTACCGACCCTCCCTGGGATGGAACCGGTACCGACCCTCCCTGGGATGGAACCGCACCCGGTACCGACCCTCCCGGGGATGGAATCGGTACCGACCCTCCCGGGAACGGAACCTACACCGACCCTCCCTGGGATGGAATCTACACCGACCCTCCCGGGAACGGACCCGATACCGACCCTCCCTGGGATGGAACCGGTACCGACCCTCCCTGGGATGGAACCGCCCCCGGTACCGACCCTCCCGGGAACGGACCCGGTACCGACTCTCCCGGGAACGGAACCTACACCTACCCTCCCTGGGATGGAAACTACACCGACCCTCCCGGAACCATCCGCGGTACCGACCCTCCGGGGGATGGAACCGGCACCGACCCTCCCGGGAACGGACCCGGTACCGACCCTCCCGGGGTTGGACCCGCCCCCGGCACCGACCCCTCGGTGCTGGGCCGCGAGGCGGTGACGGGCGGGAGGCGCTGCTGGGACGTGCAGGTGGCACCCGCGGGGTCCTGGGCACTGGGGGTGGCCCGGGAGAGCCCCGAGGACGGCGGGGAGAGCCCCGAGTGGGAGCTGTGGTCCATGGGGCTGTGCCAGGGCCRGTTCTGGGCTCTCACCTCCCTGGAGCGCATCCCGCTGTTCCCGGGGCGAGCGCCCAGCCGGGTGCGGGTGGCCCTGGACTACGACAGGGGACAGGTGGCTTTTTTTGATGCTGACAAGAGGCGGCTGATCTTCGCCTTCCCGGCGGCCTCGTTCGAGGGGCAGAGCGTGCGCCCCTGGTTCCTGGTGTGGGGTGAGGGCTCCCGGATCACCCTGTGCCCCTGAGCTTCCCCAAATCCCCACATTTATCGCCCATTCTCGGCACTTCGGGGAATTTGCGTCTGCTGAAGTCTCTCCACCGCCCGCGATGCTGAGCATCCCTCGGGGTGGCTGTCCCGAGTGGTCACCCCCAAATCTGGTGGCTGAAAACGGAGCCACGCCTGCCCCACCCCCTCTTGCACCATCCCCATCAATTTTCCCTCCACTCCTCCGGCTTTGGATGAAATAAAAAATAATTTCCATGTTTTAACTTCTTTTCTGGTGTTTTTGCTGCTTCTGGGTGTCGGGATCAGGCTGGAATTTTGTTTAATTAAACCCCACTCCTGGTGCTGACACCCAGGAAGGGCCACAAGCCCTGTGCAGGTGGCCCAGGCACTGTCCCTGTCCCTTCTCCCTGGGAGCCGTGTGCTGCTGCCAGCAGTCAGGAAGGACACCGAGGGGGAAATCACATCTTTTTTTATTAATAATTATATAAACCATAGAACCCACAGACCTGATCACCACGGGGACTTTTTCCAGGGAGAAAACGGCTGCTTTAGGGCAATTCCACCCGTTGGAGGGTGGGAAAAAGGCTAAAAATTTGTAATTTGGAGCCCTTAGTTTGGAGGTGACCAGCTCGGATGGGATCCGAGCAATTTCCACCCAATTAGGCAAGCCTTGGGATAATTTATCTTTCCATGCCAGATTTCTGCCGTTTTCCCACTGTTTCCCATTTCTCTGCCCCACGGTCCCTTCCCCAAACTTTCTTTTTGCCTTGTTTTTCTCAGCTTTCTTCCTTTTCCCGGCAGAGAAGGAAACACAAACCTGCCCCAGGGGCTGCTCCGAGGCTGTGGAAAGTTGGGGACACTTTTCCCTCAGGGCCAGAGCCGGAGCTGGGACCGCGCCCCCACCACCCAGAGCCAGGGCCGGACCCTCTCCCCAGCGAAGGCCACTCGGGAAAAGACGAACAGGAGCCCCCCGTCCTCGCCGTCAAAAAAGGCCACGGAGCCGGCGCCGCAGTCCAGGTGGACGCTGACGCGGCGGGGCAGCCACCGCAGGGCCACCAGGGTCACCTTGCGGGCGGTCAGCGCCCGGACCTGTCCACCCCAYTTCTCCAGAGCCCAAATCCCGCCCTGGGGACCGAGGCTGAGCCGCCCCTTCCTCCGCACGGAYTCCCGGGCCACCCCCACGGCCCAGTCGCCGCCGTCCCCCACCTCCACGTCCCAGCAGTGGCGCCCGGCCACGAAGCCCTGGTGGCCCAGGACGAAGGGCCAGTAGTCAAAGCGCTCGGGGCTGGCCGGGAGCTGGCGGCGCTCGCCCCCGCGCCGGACGCTCTTCCCGTCCTCGGACAGGACGAGGTCGGGGTGAGCCGTGTCGGGGTCCAGGGTGACGATGGCTGTGGGGGACAGGACCGGGGTCAGAACCGGGATGTGGTTTGGCATCCCAGGATCCCGGATCCTTTCTCAAATTATCCTTTTTTGGTACCGGGAAAAGCCCTTTCCCCTCCTCTCCTCCCTCCCCGGGCTCTCCCTGCAACGTTTCTATTCCCAATTTATATCTGAGATGAGTCAAGGGCAGCTCGTCTCTTCCAGTTCTCCCAAAATGTGACTTAAATTTGTTTTTGTTCTCCATCTGGGTACCTTGGAGCTTCCTCAGGGTTTCCTTCAGGGCGTTGCTCCTCCACGAGAAGTGACAAACTCGCTCTTCTGGCCCTGCAGCAGCATCCAGGGGCASCTGGAAAGTCACTTTCCCACACCTAGGAAAACAAAAAAAACCCAACAAAAACTCCCTCACAATTCTCAGAACAGGAGGTTCAGGAGCCACCAGGAATTAGGGATGGTGCTCTTGGGATGTTGGGTTTTAATTTCCTCCCCGCCCTTGGAAATCCAGGAGATCAAAGCCCAAATTTCCCTGTTGAATTAATCTMTTTTTCTTTTTTTTWAWTTTTTTTCTTTTTAATGAGGAAAGAGAGAAATTTTTGGGAGGACTGGGCTGGAGAGAAGAGTCCAGACTTTAAATCTGRGCCAGCGTGGAGGTGAATTTGAGACCAAATCTCCGTGGATCAGCACATCCCAAAAGTGGTGAAAGACCCAAAATGCTCCTTCCTGGGGGCGAGGAGGAGCCTCGAGCRGCACCCGCGAGTTCCTTCCTCCCCTTCCTCTCGGAGAAAGCCACGGAAAAGCTTTTCAGGGAAGCCACGAACCTGCTGATGGAGCTTTTCACATCCTGGGGAAAGAGAGAAAGGAAAGGCAGCTCAGGATGAGATCTTCCCTCAAATCACAGCCAAGGGGATTATTTGGAAATTGAGGGAACCGCCAGCCCTCCCACAGGGATTCCCTTTTTCCTGCCTTTCCGGGCTCAAAYCTCCCTTTCCCCATCCCCATGGGGCTTTCAGCTCTCCAGAGGAGCAAATGGGAACCGGGAGAACCCCAATTATTAATGCAATTATTAATCTCCCTCAAAACAGGAGAATTCCCTCACCAGCTGCGGATTCTTCTCTTCCTGCTGCTGTGCCCGGGTGTCCAGCTGGGAAATCTCTGGCATTTTTTTCGCCTGCCTCTTCTCCAGCTCATTTTTCAGGTCTTGCAGCTGTGGGAGCGAGAGGAGCTCAGGATCCCCCTGGGACTTGCGGCCCCAAATCCAAAYGGGGCTTTAAAATGGCAAACAAGGGAAAAGCGGGGTGGGAAATACCCCAAGGAACTCATGGAAAGGCATTTCCCACGGGAGAACATCCCTGGATTCCAATCCCGACTCATTTTCCTTGAATTCCTGGGGAAATCTGTCTCGGGGATTGGGGGGCAGGAGGGGTGAAAAATCAAACCTGATGCAACCAAGAAACGTCAGTTTGGATCCTTTTCCATCACTGCACTGGGAAGTTCAGGATTCTGCCCAAATCCACGCAGAAACAGCATCTTCCCTCCCAAAGGAACGTCCCTGACTTCGGGGTGTCCCCAAATGTCCCCAAATGTCCCCAAAGGTCACCTACCAGGTCCTCCAGTTTCCTGCACTCCGGGGCAGATGTCCGTCCTCGGAATCCTCCTCTCCTCGCTCAGAAATCCCTGCTGGAATTGCTTCCAAGGGATCCAAACCCTGCTGGGTTTATCCTTTGGGCAGGGCTGGGTCCTCYCTTTGCCGTCCCTTCCCCGTCCCAGGAGGATTTGTGCCACGCTGGGCTGAGCCTGCGCCTCAGATCTCCCCACACCTCTCCTGGTTCTTCCTCATCAAAATTCCAGCGTTTTATCCCTGGAGCTGCTGCCCCGGGGAGCTGCCAGCCCACTCCTTTGGCACTAAAACCTTCGTCCCTTTTGCATGGAAACCATTCCCAAAAATCCCTGGGGCACGGGATGTCCGGGTTCCCGGCGGGTGAGGAGCTCCCCGCGTTTGGCGCGACCACGAGTGGGAAAATCCAAGGAAAAAGGGAGAGAAAAGCACAACCAGAACCTTGAGGGGAAGGCAGAGGAGCACAAATTGGGGTCCTGAACACCCTCTCACCTCCATCTCTGKGTCCAAGCCCCGGCTCTGAGCTCATCAGGAAACTTTCACAGCGAATTTTTCACCCTCTGCGCTTCCATTCAGCTCCGTGGATAAATTAATATTTTTTTTTTATTATGGAATTTGTAGTGGCAGAATTGCTGCCGCCTAGCTGAGGGGCTCCCAGCTCGGGCAGCTCTGGAGGTGCAAATCTCCATTCCAGCACACATTTCCCACCGGGAAGAGCCGTGGAGGAATCGCTGTCTGTGGGAACGGCAGGAGGCAAACATCCCAAAAACACCCCGAAAACACCCCGAAAACACCCCAAAAACACCCCCAAAACACTGTCTGTGGGAACGGCAGGACTCAAACACCCCCAAAACACCCCCAAAAACACCCCGAAAACACTGTCTGTGGGAACGGCAGGACTCAAACACCCCAAAAACACCCCAAAAACGCCCCAAAAACGCCCCAAAAACACTGTCTGTGGGAACGGCAGGAGGCAAACATCCCAAAAACACCCCAAAAACACCCCAAAAACACTGTCTGTGGGAACGGCAGGACTCAAACACCCCAAAAACCACCCCAAAAACCACCCCAAAAACACCCCAAAAACACCCCAGAAGCACTGTCTGTGGGAACGGCAGGACTCAAACACCCCGAAAACACCCCAAAAACACTGTCTGTGGGAACGGCAGGACTCAAACCCCCCAAAAACACCCCAAAAGCACTGTCTGTGGGAACGGCAGGATTCAAACCCCCCAAAACGCTTCCGGGGAAGTTTGGGCAGAAGGACAGGACAGGGGGTGGACACCGGGGAGACCCCGGCAGAGCCTCCGGCTCGGCTCCCGCGGCTCGGAACGGGCAATGGGAGGGGAAAGGAGGCGGCAGAGCCTGGAAAACCAGCCCGGGTGGGAACTGCTTGGAAAGGAGGCGGCAGAGCCTGGAAAACCAGCCCGGGTGGGAACCGCTTTGCATCTCTCTGGAGAGCAGGGACGCCCCGGGTGGAGAGCAGAGACAGACGGAGAGACCCGGAGGGAGCCGGGGAAGGAAGGAGGAGCTCTGTCCTGGGGGAAGCGGAGCCGTGAATTCCCGGGAGGATCCCGGTGGGATGAGGAGGGGGCTCCGGCACGGGGTCTCCACTCATCCCGTGCCTGTTGTTCCCAGCCCGGGCTCGCTCCCGGTTCCTCTTCTCGGTTCCGGAATYAATCACGAGGCTGTTTCGGTGCTGCTGCTTCCTCTTTCGGGTTTCCTCGGAAGAAAACYGCGCGGTTTTGAGGAAATCGGTGTCGGTGAAAGCGGCAAAAAGCGCCCGAACTCGCGTGTGCCTCTGCCCTTATCGGCTCCTCGGGCTGAGGAGGGTCCCACCCGCCCTGGGACCGGTCCCACCCCATCCGTCCCCAACCGCCAGCACGGGGCAGCTTTTGGGCGAGTAATAATGTGGAAAATCCGATTGCGGGAGGGTTTGCGTCCCTCCACGGTCTGTGCGGAACGCTGGACAGGCGGAGGCTCGGGGAGGCGTCCCCATCCCGCGAGGATTTTTTAATTTATCACCCAAAGGCGTCCCCATCCCGCGCGGATTTTTTAATTTATCACCCAGAGGCGTCCCCATCCCGCGCGGATTTTTTAATTTATCACCCAGAGGCTCAGAAATCCAGAGGAGCACAAATCCCGGCGGGGGTGCAATCCAAAATGTTCTTTTATTGGAGAGAAACGTCAGGAATGTGGACAGAGATGGGGAGCAGCCCCCCAAACCGAGGAGTGAAGGGTCCGGGACACACCCTGGACAAAAGCACTTTGGGAAGAGAGAAATCGGGATTTTCCGTTGGGATTTGGAAAGAAAAATCGGGATTTTCCGTTGGGATTTGGAAAGAAAAATCGGGATTTTCCGTTGGGATTTGGGAAGAGAGAAATCGGGAGGATTCATCCCGCCGAGGGCTCCACAATGTAAAAACCCCACACGCTGAAAGGGGTGCGCACCCCAAGGCTCCTCCCGGCCCTCGGCCGATCCCYGGGGCCGTCCCAGAGCTCCCGACGGACACAGAGGGGCGGCGAATTCCCGCTCGGGCACATCCCGAGAGCTCCTTAGGGGCAGATCCGCAAAGAGCACCCGAATCCCACCCAGTCCAGAGGGGCCGCGRCCACCGCCCGCTCCTCGCAGCGCGGGCTCCGCGTCACCTCCCGCAGCCGCGCCCCCAKCCCGAGCTTGAACCAGGGCAGCACCCTCTCCCCGTTGAAGGCGGCCGGGSTGTATTCCAGGATGGGAATGTCGTCGCCGGCGCTGAAAAAAGCCACCCGGCGCCCCTCGTAGTCCAGCGAGACGCGGAGGCGGCGGGGCAGGGGGTGCAGGCGGAGGTTGGCGCGGGGCGAGGTCAGGGAATGAAAAGCCTCCAGCGCCCAAACCCCTTCCTTGGGGCTGAGGCTCAGGGGGCCCTTCCTGCGCGCCAACTCGCGCACCACGCCCAGCCCCCAGACCCCGCCCTGCCCCACCTCCACCTCCCAAAAATGCCGCCCCGAGGCGAAGCCGCCCCGCCCCAGCACGCAGGGCTCGAAGTCGAAGCGCTCGGGGCGGTTGGGGACGGCCCTGGGCAGGAGCTGCCCCCGCGCTTCTTTGCCGTCCTCAGACAGGTGCAGGTTGGGGTGAGCCGTGCACGGGTCCAGGGTGACATCGGCTGCGGCAAAGGGGAGAGCTGGAGGGGATTCGGGGAGAATGGGGGTGCTCCTGTTCCTCTCTGAACCCGGCATTGTCCCCATTCTCCCCATTCCCGAGGCTCCAAAGGGCTGGAGGGGATTTGGGGAGAATGGGGGTGCTCCTGTCCCTCCCCGAACCCGGGATTGTCCCCATTTCCCGCATTCCTGAGGCTCCAAAGGCTCACGGGCAGCTCTGGAGGGGATTTGGGGAGAATGGGGGTGCTCCTGTTCCTCCAGAACCCGGGATCGGCCCCATTCTCCCCCTTCCCGAGGCTCCAAAGGGCTGGAGGGGATTCGGGGAGAATGGGGGTGCTCCTGTCCCTCCCACAACCAGGGATTGTCCCCATTTTCCCAGTTCCCGAGGCTCCAAAGGGCTGGAGGGGATTCGGGGAGAATGGGGGTGCTCCTGTTCCTCCCCGAACCCGGGATTGTCCCGGCAGGTCTGGGGGGGCACAGCCTTGGGGAGAATGGGGGTGCTCCTGTCCCTCCCCGAACCCGGGATTGTCCCCATTCTCCCCTTCCCGAGGCTCCAAAGGCTCACGGGCAGCCTTGGGGAGAATGGGGGTGCTCCTGTCCCTCCCAGAACCCGGGATTGTCCCCATTGTCCCCCTTCCCGAGGCTCCAAAGGCTCTCGGGCAGCTCTGGGGGGGCACAGCCTTGGGGTGTCCCGGCAGAGCCCCCCGGGATGGGAGGAGAAGGGGAAAGGACAAAGTACGGGGCAGAGGCACCAGGAGGGACAGAACAGGATGGGCACCAAACTTCCTTTAATTCCCCCCCGACCCAATCTCATCCTGGGATGGAACGGTGGAGAATTCCCCGGCAGGGAAAGGGAAATGCAAAGGGATTTTTTGGGATATTTGGGATATCTCAGGCTCTGGACACAGCGGGAGCATCAACATCGTGACGGTCACTCTTCCCTCCCTCCCTCCCTCCCCACAGCGGGAACTGCGCTGGTTTTTCCATGGGAATCTCTCCCATAACCCCAAATCCCACAGTTCCTCCCTCGGACTCACCCGGCTCCTGCAGCAGGAACATGAGGCTGTCTGAGGAGAGAGAGATTCCCTGGAGTCAGAGCTGGACAGCGCCTTCATCCCGTGGGGTGAACCCCCTGGCCGAGCCAAACTCATCCCCGACGATTTGTCCACATGGATTTATCCCCCTCTCCCTCCTCTCCCCAACCTCGTACTCACAGGGGATTGGATTTTCCCACCAGCGACCCCAAATCTGCTTTTGGGGTGAGATCTGGGAGAGGTTTCTCGCAGATATCCCACACGAGGACCCCATTTCTCCCAGGGATCCCACAAAAGGACCCCATTTCTCCCCAATCCCAGTTCCCCCACTCCTCCCCAGTTCCCACACCGGACCCTTTGCCTGTCCCAGTCCCGCTCGGTACCTTGGCACCTCCTCAAGGTGCTCCTCACCCGGATATTCCTCTGCACAAAATCCTCGAGGCTCCGCTCCAGATCGGAGGAAATCTCGGCTGGGGGGTGGAACTTCATCATCTCACAGCTGCAAAGAGCCCAAAAAAGGGGAGAGCCCCCAGTCTGACAATTCATTTTATTCCCATTAAATATCCCAAGGGCTCTTAGGGGATGGGCTGAGGATGTTTATCCCAGGAGCAAATCTAGCCTCCTTTCCCTGCCCTTCCTGGGCACTCCCAGACCCAAATTCCTGAGCCTGGAGCAGCACAGGGAGAATCTGAGCTCCCAAATTCCTGCACGGGGAGAATTTGAGCTCCTGGCTGGAAATCGCAGGCTCAGGCTCCACCTGGAGGTGCGAGAAGGGAGAGGGAGCCGCTCACCTGTGCAGGAGCTGTCCGATGTCCTAAAGGCGGCAAGAGAAAGGAGATGGTTGGAGAGGAGGAACAGCGAGATTTGT